CCACACGCAGGCACACTGAGCGGTCGGTTTTGCCACCGCTCTGCTGGTCATCGTTTTCATAGTTGTTCAAGGAGTTTCGAGTGATATTCACTGTAAATCTGTCTAAACATCTATTTATTCTCTCGCGCTACTGTCTACTCAGAGCTACTAGAAGCTATTTTATTAATTCTACCCGGTCGAATTCATTCATTTGGCAACGTCGTCAACATCGTCTCGGGTCGAGATCGATTTATCGTTATTTCTGGTCAAGAAAAAGCGTGTTCCTGTGTGGCGAGGAACGATCACTGAAACTTCAAGCCACCTTATCAGGTGTATTATTTTCCTTTTTTCCATTGTAAACTATGGATACACCGCTAGCTAAGGACGCGACACAGATTCAGAATCGCAACGGTAAGCGGCACCGTCTCGACGTCACCAGCCCGCAGTTCGACGACCACCTCAGGCGGGCTATGGACTTGATCGCTGATGATCGATCCCTGCCGCCACATCTGAAAGCTGCAATCGGTTATCTATTCGAGATGAAGAGTGAGCTGGATGACGTATTGGCACGAAACAAGCAACTGATGGATGAGAATAGACTGGTGAAGGGAAGGAACAGTGAGTTGGAGGCCGAGATCGTTTCACTGAAGTCCCAAATCACAATTTTAAAACAGTCTCTTTCTGATAAGTCCTGTAATGATGGTAGGGTTATTCCACCTGATATGTCTTATGAGGATATCGAACGAAAGCGTTCGGTGGTTGTTGCTGGCATTCAGGAATGCGTCTCTCCTATTGCTTCTGTTAGAGTCTCGTACGATTTGAATTGCATTCGTCGAATTAATGATTTTCTCTCGGTAGACTGTCAACCAACTAGTGTTTATCGAATGGGGCGTTATGTCCCTGGTAAGCCACGTCTTTTAAAAGTAGTATTTCCGTCGTCATTTTTCTCGTCTTTGCTTCTTAGAAGAGCACCTAAATTGAGATTTTTTTCTGAGAAAGGCATTTTTGTCAGACGCTCTCTATCCCTGGCTGAGCGTCAAAGCTTAAGAGCTCATAGAAACACTAGAGATGCCGATATCCCACGTGATTCGCAATCCTCTCAATCACTTTCACATTCTGTTCATGGAAATGTTTCGAATACTCAAGATGTTGTGCCATCATCCTCGTCTCCCATTTGTAATGATAGAAGCGCTAATAATTTAAACATGTAAGGGGCCAAGGGAATTCTAGATTGAAATTTTCTTGCTTTGTAGCTAACATCAGATCAATAGTAAAGAACTCGGATGCGCTCGCATTACTTATTAAGCAACACTGTCCCGATATAATTGCAATAACGGAGACATGGCTTAACCCCAATATTACTCTATCGTCTCTCATTCATATGAATATGTCTCCTTATACTGTGTTAAGATGTGACCGCCCATCTAAGCGAGGTGGAGGGGTGGTTTTGATTGTCAGAAACTTATTTTCCCCGATGACTATTTTTTCGGAATCTGTAGTTAATGCATATGAGATTCTATGCTGTGATTTGTCTGTTAGCCTTTCCATGCTGCGCATTATTCTGATATACAGAACACCTAGTTGCACGGCTGCTATGTCGGGTCAACTGACCAAGGCCGTAAGTGACTTGGTGTCATGTAGGCATTGTTCTATTGTTATCGGTGATTTAAACTTCCCCTGCATAGCCTGGAATGGCTCAGTTCAAGCGCAACCGACCCAGATTTCAGCCAGTGCCCGAACATTCCTAGGAGATGTGTGAAACCCATGCATTAAAGCAATACGTTACTACTGGCACTCTGAACGAGAATATTCTTGATTTGGTTCTGTCCAACGAGGAGAATTTGATCACAGGTCTTGAAGTACTCCCGCCGGTGGGGTCTAGTGATCACGCGGCCATCAGTTTCACCATTGACGCCCATAAATCGGAAGAAAACGTCACAATGAAAAGAGATTTTTCGATGGCTAATTATCAAGAAATTGAACGTCACTTGACAAATGTGGACTGGTTCGGCTCTTTAAATTGTGTAGACACGGTAGATGCGAAGTATGAACTTTTTCTAGGTATTCTTTCCCACACAATTGAACTATTTGTTCCAGTCACCAAAAAGACATCATCGAGATCACCATTGCCCAACTATCTTTCTTCTTTGACCCGGAAACGTGAGCGGGCGTGGATTAAAGCTCAGAAGTCCAACACATTCCAGGACCAGCTAGATTTTGAACGTTTGAGTAAGAAGCTGAGTAAAAAACTCAAAAAATTCAACGCATCGGTTGAGAGAAAAATAATTAGATCAAAGAACAAAGCCGCGTTTTACAAACTTTTGAAGTCTAGATTAACTCAGAAGGCGAAAATTATGGCACTTCTCTCTTCCGACGGAACTCCAGTCTACAGTGATGCTGAGAAGGCAGAGCTTTTGGCGACCACTTTTCAAAAAGCTTTCCACCATTTTGAACATAATGGGGACATGATTTCTACTGGAGCTAGATTCCCCTCAATGCAGGACTCAGTGTGGTTCCATCGGGACGAAATTGCGAAGCTACTCCTAGATTGGCCACAGTCAAATTCGCTTACTCCGGACTTTCTACCGCTACATTTCATCAAGAAGGTTGTTCATCATATAAGTGGCCCACTAGAGCATATTTTCAACCTAAGTTTTATGAATGCGGAAGTTCCGCGTCGGTGGAGGCAGTCATTCATAACGGCTATTCCGAAGAAACCACCATACAATTCACCAAACAATTTTAGGCCGGTTAGCATAACCTCTATTTTTGCGAGGCTATTTGAAAAGATCCTGAAGAAACGTATCGTGGAACATCTTGAAAAATACAATATCATATCTCATAAGCAACACGGTTTCCAGGTGGGGAAGTCCACGGTAACCGCTATGATACAGGCTCTCAATCATTGGACAAGGTGTTTAGATGAGGGTAAACCTGTTGATGTTGTGTATCTCGATTTTTGCAAAGCATTCGATAAAGTCTGTCACAAAAAGTTGCTAGAGAAAATGAGCGACGTAGGAATCCACCCACGCATTACGGCATGGGTGCGGCATTCTTGTCAGGACGTCAGTTTTCTGTTCGTATCAATTCGTCATTCTCTTCACCTAGGCTTGTGCACAGTGGAGTTCCGCAGGGAGGGGTCCTTTCGCCTGTGCTGTTCAATATCTATACATATGACCTCATTTCTATTGCTGAGCAATCTAATGTTGAAATGTGTGCGTTTGCGGACGACCTCAAGCTCTATCGTTCGATCATTAATGAGGACGACGCTAGAGACCTTCAAGATGTACTCAATAAAGTTCCACCAGTGGTCAGAAGAATGGGGCCTGCCTCTATCTGAGGCCAAAACTAGGGTGCTGCACCTTGGCTCACGGAACAAACGGTATAAATACTATATTGGAAGCACGGTTTTGACCGTAGTCGAACAAGTGAGGGACTTAGGTTTCCTTGTAGATACCCATCTAAGCTTTGACGCTCATTGTGAGGATATTGCTAGAAAGGGAACCGTCGTCTTGCACAACATATTCAGAGCGCTGTCAACAAGGTGTACGTCTGTTCTATTGCAGGCTTATAAGTCATATGTAAGACCTGTTCTAGAATATGGTACACCAGTGTTCTGTCCTTACAAAGTCAAATCAATAAATAAACTAGAGGCAGTCCAAAATAGCTTCACAAGGAAGTTAATGGTGAGAGTCCTTGGGTTCATGTATGACCAAATCCCTTCAAGTGAGATTAGGAATAAGAATTTTGGTTTACAAACTCTGCAGTTTAGGCGGAAGAAAAATGATCTATTACTGTATCATAAACTTATTCATGGGAAAGCTAAACTAGATCTTGAACAACTGTGGGTACAGAGGACCTCAATCACAAGAGGCGGTAGGATGAAAATTGATGTGGGTCGGGCCAAGTTGAGTTGCAGGCGAAATTTTTTCACTCATAGAGCAATCCCGTTATTCGAAAAAATATGTAAGAAGTGTCCAGCAGCTATATCTTACGGCGCGCTCAAAAGATTTTTGAGTACGGCAAAGCGTTAGCGAAATCCCTTGGTCCTAAGATGTTTTTTTTTTCTTCGTGCCATTATTTTGATTCTTGTTGATGAGTTACTTATTTTTATCTATTGAGTTAACTTGAATGTTCTAGAGTGTTATTGATATTTTTGTGCGTGACTCTTTTG